TTTCAATCTGTCTTCTTTATGTGTGATCCAACAGCTAGATCCCTTCCATATTTTATAGTGTTCATGGTGCTGAAGTCACAACCTAAACCTAACTTTTCCTTCTTTTTTAACATTTTAAATTGAAACTGCAACTAATTATGATTAAATGCTGCCCTTTAAAATGGCATACTTTTATGAATGTGAGATGCCAATGTCTCTCTTTCCTTCCTCTCTCTCTCTCTCTTTCTCTCTCTCTATCTCTCACACTATCTGTCTCTGTCTCTGTCTCTCTACAGGTTACATGTTGAACTGGGAGAGATTTGCTTAAACACTTAAAATGTCAAGTGACATGTCCTTGATTTTTGTGGCTCAGATCAATCTTGATTACAAGCCTCAAGTCCTAAACGTTGAGCAGGACTATATGGAATAATAATATATGGGTAATATGGAAATTAAACTTTAAGCCAATGTAAAAAACTTCACCTGCACACATTGAATGTTTACTTTAGAAACCTACATGTTCGTATTTTGTCCTTATTGAAATGTAAGTGAATTTTAAAGGGATACAGCTCTCTGTTATGTAGCCTATAAGATAGATGGATACAGCCGACTGCAGCTCATTACTGCAGGTCAGCACTTTGTGAGAAACAGGAAACATCATTAACTCCTCTGGTTTGTCACATGTTTAGCTTGTCCCCCATCATTAGGGCTCTGTATGTGTCAGGCATGAATAACATTATACCAAATCAAATCTCAGACTGTCTGAATGCATAGTTTTCTTCTCTGTAAACCTCAGGTTGATTCAACACTTTGACTCTGGATCTTGGTGAAACAATTCCTCAGTTAATGTGTGTGCTGTTGCCATGGAGATGTATCATGACCATTGTGTGTGAACTGTGGCCGTCTCTCACTCCACTGACTGTCTAAGAAGAAATGATAAGTATACTGTCTTGTGGATGTTGCTTGTTTGTATTTAATAATTAGAAAAAAAAATATATATATATATAATAATAAGAGAAGAAGCTGACAGCAAGAGCAGGTGAAGGATGTCTCTTATATACTCTTCACTTTAACCCCAAGTCGATGCTGTCACTAACGACTTAAAGAAAGTCTGGTCTCAACCTCATCAGTGTTCAAACTAGAACAGAATAAGTATTAACTTATTGTGCAGTCCACTGGCTTCCTCACATCTGCAGCTTTGGTGTGTCTCTGTGATTTCCAGACGTTTTTTTGTCCCAGAAGGTTGGTGTATATTCAGTGACCATCCGGATCCAGTCCTCCAAAAAATGAATGTAATCCGGTATAATTTATGAATAGATTTGAGTGAAATAGCATAATTTCTGTTAGCTCACTCGGCTAACGCGGACGCTGCCATCTTTGTTAGGTCTGTCTTCTTCTTCGGTGGTTTTAAAAGCGGTTGGCATCCATAATGTTGCATTAGCGCCTACCACTGGTTTCAAATAGAAGTATAAACTTCTGACAACTAAACTGAAACTTGTAAGTAAAGAAAAAAACATATAGCCTATGTTTACATTTTTTTTAAAATTATAAATATTTATTCCCCACCTCTCATCCTCTTACTTAACCTCCTGAAGCCTCTCTCAGCTGCCCCTGCACCTCTTCTCCAGTAACACCCTCATTATGGTGCTGAGATTATACATGCATTTTAACAGGAGACCAGGTGTTCAAATAAATGAGGAAAATAAGACCTCCTCAGGGGGTTAAAGAACAAACATATTCAATTAATTAGAATTACAGTAAGAAAGTGAGTCAGTAAGATTTTAGAGACAGGAACTTTAATTGACTCATTTGAATATGTAAGATATGTGTAAAAAAGTAAAATTGTTCAGAGCATTGTGTAGCTTCCTATAGTGGCAAAAGGGATATTATCTGAACAAGTTGTAATAGTTTGCTAAATAGTAGCTCAGAGGAAATGCTTACATAATGAAGCAGAGACTCCTGAGCAAAACATCAGATTATATTAACTTTTATTTTACAGGCAAATTAAGCGTTTAAGTCATTGATAGAGAATAAAGTTTACAGATACTTTTAACTACCACTGACATGGCAGTAACTCCTGATGCTGTGAGGCTGAAACATAAAAATAATATCAACTAAAAAATATCAACAGTGGAGAAACATGTAACATTTAGCCGATACAGAATTTAATCATGATAATTATTTCAGGGAAAGTACCAGTACAGCATAATCATCCTCACTGATATGTAAAGTTGCTAATAATGATCTTTTAATGGATGATTAAAATAATTCCTCCACTGTTTAGTTGTGCTAATTGGAAAGCGGCTGTGCAGCAGGATTACGGCAGACATTAAGCAATAACACTCAGTTACCATCTTTATCCATGAAATTCAGACGTTCCGCTAATTGTCTGCACTGCCTCCTATCTAGGCCGCCTGCTAATTGCTGCTTGTGACCTTAACCATCATGAAATTCTCTGCTGATGGCGTTAATATTAAAGCAATCGACTAATCTGCTGATCAGTTAATTAAAACAGAACCAATTATCCCGTCACAGGGGATGGCACTCTTTGCTGCAGAACATAATGTCAAAAATGTTACAGATCAAACAAAATAAATGGATGTGAGGTAGTAACAACTTTTTGATTCAAATAAAATCCAGAATGAAAGGTACATATTTTATTTATTTCTGTGAAGGACAGGGACCAACGCTCTAGTGAACAGTGATTCACTGCTGTATCTTAAGTGGTGAATCACTGCTTACAGCATCACATATACAAACGTCTACATGTGCATATTGTTGGATCTGTGTGGCTGAAGGGCAGAGCGTGCCAGTGGAGCATGAAGAGATGTATCTGTAGTATAACGGTGTCAGGAGGGAACATCCTTCTATACACTGGAAACACAAACAAGATAGTAAAGAGTCTGTCATGGTTATTTTTATTCTGCAGACAGGAAACTCAGAGACTGTAGGCAGGCAGATGTGTGTAGGAGAGAGTTTCATTACACTACATTCACATGAGGGTCAGAGATGTTAGTGGTCATGATTCAGGATAGGAAAGAAGTTAGCCTGATTGTGTTTTTAATGCGTTTCTATTTTTCAGAAATGTTTTATTTCGCCTTTGGAAACAAGGGACAGAAAATGTTTGACATAGCCCGTATTGGATGATTAATTAAGGCAAGATTTTTTCTTAGTTTTGGATGTACTGTAAAGAAATGACACTTGAATCATGTTCATATTTCAGTATCCTGTTAAAAAACCCTCATATCAGGGTTTTCCAAAAACATTGTACCTACAATTAGGACTAGCAAACTCAAGCTTTGTATGGCAGTGTATAGAACACCACCCAGATTAAAAGGCTATAAGTGCTCCTGGCAGGAGATTGTGGTTAGGGTGGCAAGGAGGAGGGAGGAAAGTGTGAGAGACGGGGGGAAGAAGGTCAGAGATGCTGAGGCCTGAGGGATGAAAACATGGCGGGAGAGAAATGCACCGAGTGAACATATTGTATAAAGCACAGATGTTTAGATACAGTGAGGCAGGGAACAGCATAAGGAAAGGATGAAAGTCCTCTTTAATACAGTGTTAATAACCTTGGAGAACAAAGACTGGAAATAAATCTGCACGTTGTAAACATTCCCTTTTAAAGACAAAACATTTCATGCATAAAGAGGTGAGTTCTTAAGACATTTGATACTTGTGTACATTTACTGTTTAGATCCAACATGAATTGTTCAAAAAAACACAAACGTTAAAAATGAATGGAAGCAGAAGGTTAAAAACAAGCTATGGCACATTTTGACGGACAATGGGACAACTCTTCACATTTGAATGATACTTAAGGATCAGACTTGGGTCAAATGCTCTCAGCTACCAAAGTTCATAAATACATTTTTTTTAGAATCAACTCTTAATATATTATATTCATGCCATGTCATGCATCTCTTAACCGTATGATGCCTGCTGTTTGATGGGTTTTGTGAATAACTTATGAACACTGTTAGGACTGGTACTGGTGGTGTTTCTTTAGATACAGAGTATTTATGATTTGTCGAGCAGGATTCATTAACAATAATATATGAACAAAGCAATTAAGACTTATTATGCAGAATATATATTCTGTACACATCTTTTTTTTTCAAACAGGCAATAAATATTTGTATGGCACTGATAAATACAGGGCAGGTAACTCACACTTCTACTTGAACAGGACTTCTTAAATCTGGCAGTGGCTATGACATGTCTTTGTGTTTTAAAAAGGAGATACTGTGAGTGACGATAAGTAAGGGGGCTGCTGTGATTAGAAAAAGAAACACATTTAATACAGGATGTCTTTACTACTGGTTGGATTATGGCACCATAATCATAATAAAAGTCTCACGTGTCTGGCTTAGCCTTAAGGGGTAATTAGGTCAAAGGGCATATAAATCTACTTTATCTTACATGATTGGAGTGAAATAAGGGAAGGCTAATTAGGGCTTCAACAGATAAAAAAAAACTTCCTGTCTTTCTTGGCTGACAAACTGTAGAGTTCCTATTTGCTGTTAAAATGCTGATTTGTTGTAAGCATATAGGACAATCCAGTCTGCAGATAACTTAAAGGTCACATATTATGCAAAATCCACTTCACCAGGTTTGTCTAACACTAATATGTGTCCCTAGTCTGTCTATAGACTCCCCAGTTATGAGAAAAGTCCATCCTCTCCGTCTTTTGCCTGCTCCACTTTTCAGAAAATGTGTGCTAAAACAGACTGTTTTTTCCTTGATGACATCACAAAAGGCAGTAGCCCCTCCCCCAGATGGGGGACACTTCCACAGCTAGGTGTTTGTTCTGTCCTCTGAGTCTGCCTTCTCACTGTAAACAATTGGGCATGATACGAGAAAGACCAAGCCAGGCAAACCATTCCAGAGAGGGGGCGTGGTTAAACACAGCTCATTTACATATTTAAAGGTACAGACACAGAAACAATCTGTTCTGATCAGGGCTGAAATAGAGGGGTTTATAGGCATGATCAAATACAGGATCAGATTGGATTTAGAACAAGAAACTTCACAGGCATGTTTTGGGGAGCTCTGAGTCTTATTTAAACTTTTTGAAAAAAAGGATATGTGACCTTTAAGATGTTAAGAAACAACTCTGTGTACATATTTGATTGACTTACATTTGATGGTTTATGGGTAAGCTTCAGTTATCAGAGACAAAAAGCTGTTAAAACTACACACCGGGAAGATACAAAAATAGCTCCTAATTGACTGTAACAGCCCCAGAGCGCACTTACACTTCAAGGGGAAGGTGACAATGTGTCTTACCTAGAGACTTCGTATCCAAAAAAAAAGAGAACTAGTTGTGTACAAGATGTTGCTACTACCACAAAACAGAGATGATTGTGCGTTTGAGTGAGACGAGAGGTGAGGTGATCCCAGGAGTAGTGTCGGGCTATAGTTGTCTGATGGGTGGAAGGTTAAGGGTGTCCAGAGCGCTGTGGTAGAGCTCTCTCAATGCTCTGAGCAGATACAGACGACAAAACATCTGGTTGAAGAGATGAGGCAGCGGCTCCTGGAAAGAAAGACAAGAAGTGTAGAGGAGTTTGAGTTAAAAAAAAAAATTCTGTTAAAGGTCACATATTATCCTCCTTTTTAAATAAGACTCAGAGCTCCCCAAAACATCTCTGTAAAGTTTCTTGTTCTAAATCCACTCTGATCATGTATTTGATCATGTCTATAAACCCCTCTATTTCAGCCCTGCTCAGAACAGGCTGTTTCTGTGTCTGTAGCTTTAAATGCAAATGAGCTGTGTTTGACCACGCCCCCTCTCTCTGGAGGGCATGTCTGGCTTGCACACTCTCTCATCATGTCCAATTGATGCAGTTGTAGGCAGACTCAGAGGCCAGAACAAACACCTAGCTGTTGGAGTGTCACCCACCTGGGGGAGTGGTTACTGCCCTTTGTGATGTCACAAATGGCCTGTTTTAGCACACATTTTCTGATAAGTGGAGAAGGCAAAAGACGGAGAGGATGGACTTTTCTCATGATAGTGGGGTTTGTAGACAGACTAGGGACACATTAGTTGGAGAAGACATGGTAAAGTGTATTTTGCATAATATGTGACCTTTAAGGGACAAGATGGGAACAGTGTCTCTAAAACACTGAATTGATAAGGTGTTCAAAAGGAAGGGGACACATTTCAGACACAAAGTTGAACACATAAATATCCCCAGAATAAAAACAGTGATTGTAGGAGTTAACATCTTGTGTATACATGATTAGTTTAAAACATATGTCGAGTAAATCATCCTCACCCCAAGGACATGGACTCTGTTGTAGTACGAACTGAAGTCTTTGCTGAGTGACACAAGAAATTTACAGATCTGCAGAACACAAACACACGAGGCTTAGATAAACATCTTAACGTCAGATTTGAGTTGAATTTAAAACTGTCTCTCAACACCCTTACCTGTTCAGTCTTAATATTGACTCTGGCTCCTCCCCCTTCACAGTCTAAAGCTTGTCCTGATTGGTCCAGCAGCTCAGAGAATGGGATGAGATAATTGAAAAGGAGAAGCCACTCGCCCTGTTAGAAAAAACACAGAGACAGCATGATGGATGAACAACTAGCTATCAAAAGGTGGGACATTTATTGTCCAAAATGTTTTGGGATGGAAAGAAAGAAAATACAAAAAATGAATATGGAGGAGTGACAGAACAGATTAGAAAGTCGTCAGAGATAATAAAGTGGTACCTCTTCTTTTAGAGCAGAGAAGTCCAGCTGGGAGCCCTCAGGGATTTCTGGGTATAGACCTGCAGAGTGGAGATATTGCATTAACAGATGAAGATACACAGATCTCATTAGTCTCTCAATGAAGGAGAAAAACTGTATGGTAACTGGACCTCATTCAGCAGTAGCAGACAAATAGTAGCCCAGTACAAGTAGCCCTGCGCCCAGTAATCCAGCCCATTTTTAGCAATACAATGTTATTTAGGTAACAATGTATAATCTAATGATAATCCAAAAGAATCACAGCATTTATAGATCCGTCTCAAACATACAGGAGGTAGAGTAAGAGACGAGTGTGCTATGCTACAAACATCAACTGAATCAACTGTACTTTAATTAAACAACAACAAAAAACAACAATAGCTGTAGTTAAAAATATGTAAGAAATTGTATAAATTGTAACGCCCTTTGCAACACAGGTGTGTCATTTTTTTTTACTCTAAACTGTTTGCAAGTGTTTTTAAGACACACAGAGAAATTCTTAAATCTATGATTTTCACTTGTTACAAAGGAGTTTGCACTCAGTGACTATTTAGTTTCCTAAATGGCTGTATTGCTACAATCTCCAGTAAAATACACTCATTTGTGATTATTAGTGACAATTCAAAAACAAATTATATATATATATATATATATATATTTTTTTTTAAGATTTATTGTTGGGCTTTTTGTGCCTTCATTGTTGAGATAGGACAGTGGACATAGTGGGAAATGTAGGGAGAGAGAGCGAAATGACCAGCCACAGGTTGGTTTCAAACCTGCACACCAACCACAAGGCAACTGACGCCCCCATCATTTTGTATATCTAAGTAAGGCCATTGCATTCAACTGTTTGTATTGATTTTTAAAGTGCTCAATTGGAGGCTTTTATAAAGGGAGTAATTCACTCAGCCTCCTTAAGACTTTTTTCTTCCAATCTGAGGCCACAGCTGTGTTATTTGGTGATTGTTGTTTTTTTTTCCTCCCTTGTGTAATAAAACATGTCTAAAAGCTAAACTCTCACCCTTCTCCACTCCTCTCTCGTAGCTGTCAAACAGAGTGTGCAGTCTGGCACAGTTGTACATGACAAACACTCCTCCTCTGGGCCCTTTGGTGGACACGCCCCCTTCTTTCTGGACATCCAATGTCACCTAAACAGAAAACTGTCAATCACTGTGACTGGAATAAAAACATGTAACATGCAAACCATCATTATTGCCTTCATAACTAGAGAGGAGGGTGAATAGCTTGTCCAGTATAAATGCATGACACCTTCAGGCATTAACACACAGCTGCAATGATGACTCACAGGACTTGTGTGGACCGTTGACAGCAGCTCAAATCTGACCGTGGCAGAAGTCATAACCCTGATGATGTCATCCCATGTCTGACCTACAAAAGGGCATTGGGGAGGCAGCATTTTATCGCCAGTTAATTCCCTTCAACTACAGTTATCAGGAGGGAAAGTAACAAGTAGGTTTCATAAGAAAGAAGCATTCTAACATGGAGCAAGTACACAAATACAAATACACACCTTCTACTTGATCTCCATACTTCATCTCTGAGGCCTCCTTCATCTGACCTCTCCTCAACCTGGAAGAGAAGGTAGAAGAAAGAAACATATTTTACACAGACAGCTGGGCTATAAATATATACTCTGCAGTGACACAGAGATGGAGCAAAGCACCATCAACACCCGCCAGTGTTATTTTAATTGAGTTTAATTAAAACTGCAATTTCACTGTGCAGACAAGAACCTAGTGAGAGTGTGTCATGATAGTTAACATCTGTGTTGGGGACAGCGTCAGAGGGCAATAGGAGGCAGAGGAGACACAGGAAAAAAAGGAAACTGAAAAGGCAGGTGGAGTAGAAAGAAGAGGAAAGATAGAAAAAGTGTGAAATGGTGAGAAAGACAAAAAGAGGAGAGACACAACTACAGAGGGGGAAAGGAGTGATGTGTCTTACTGCAGGTACTGTGCAGCAGTGAGCTGAGAACCGGGAGTCTTCACTGGCCCACACACCAGATGTCTCTGCAGGGACAGAGGAGAGCACAGCAGATAAAAATAGTAACACAATGCAACATATGATTGAGTATGTGTGTGTGTGTAAGTGGGTATACCTGTGTATGTGTTGCTCCACTTGCTCTCCAAAGCACTGCTATCTGCTGCTGGCGGAACTCATCCTGACAGGAAGTCACATGTAACACTGTTGCCATGGGTACCTATGAACAAGGCAGAAAGGATATAGAAATCAATGCTTAGTTGTCTGCTTCTAATGACAAAAAGATGTGTGTGTGTGTGTGTGTGTGTGCATTTGAGTGTGTCTGTGTGTTTGTGTGTCGCTTACCATGCAGTCGGATGTGGCTAGGTCCAGTTGTGCAAGGTGGGAAACGCTGTCTCTGTGGACTAAAACAAATGCACCAACAAAGTGTTATCAGTATGGATACAATACCAACTATCTGTTAGCCTTCTAATATGACACAAAGAAGAAGCTTGCTAGTAAGCTTGGATGTAAATAGCACAGGTTTCAAAAGACAGAACAGCTTAACAAATGTTCCATAAGGAAGAAAATTAGATTGACACACTTGTTGGACGTAAAAGATACACATGTTGGCTTTTTGGGAGTAACAATGAACGCAATCTCGTAACCCATTAGCTATCTTCTGACGACCCTATAATCTGTGGCAATGTACAACTGTTTGGCCGAACCTAAAGCCTAGGCACTGCACCCTCACAGACTTGTGAGCTTGCTGATAAAAAATTAAAGAGTAATGGGACACTATCATGTCATCACACGTTGCCTGGAAATGAGACACGTAAGTAAACAATAAAAATAAAAAAAAGAGACCACCTCCTGTATGTGTTTGTATTTCTTTCATTATTAGTGTGTATTTATGTAATGTATTTAGGACAAAATCACAAGTGAGTCAAATCAAATATTAAAACCTTATAAATATTTCACTAAATACACAAACAACTCTTCAAAAGTGCTCAAAATAACCACAAAATGTATGAACTGTGCTTCATATTGTCATCTTAACTTACTGGGTTTTTTTCAGTCACGTCCATGCTTGCTTTAATTACATGTGTTTGTTTTTTAATTTTTTGAATACTGCTTCAATATGCAAACATCTGTTTACATTTAGTGGGTGGCTGGGCGATGGTGTCCTTCACATCACAAAGCTTGCAATGACCTCTGGGTAAGTCCCACAGGAAAGTCTGCAAATATGTGGCCTCACAGAAGGTGTGTCATGAGCAGATAAAGAGTCTGCATCAGAGACCTCATGTACACTTCACAGTGAGACAGCATTAAACACTCACAACTACCGGGTAGCACCTCAAAGTCCTTGAGTCTGTGACTGTGGAGTTTGGAATTTAGCCTTTGGGGCTTCTTGTGTAGACAGCAGTTAGCAATAAAAGACTTCAGGTCAAGGCTTCAAACTTTACGTGCCTTGTCATTGTTTACAGTCTGAATAGAACTTGGGAGTGAGAACAGAGTTAGTGAAACATCCAATGGAAACAACATCCAAGAGGGGAAGATTGCTGTACTTGAATGCAGGTGCCTGTTTATAGACATCCAAGCTAAAACATCATCAGATGATTGCCAATGGGTTCCAAGATTGCATTACATCGAAGCCCACTGAAACACTATTGGACTACAAACAGAAGGCAGAACACTTGTGAAACCAAAATCTGCTCCCACATCAACATATTCTGCATTTTACTGCAGCAGCGAGTCCAACCATCTGTTCTACCACATGAATTGCAAAATAACTGGGAAAAGAGCAATGCAGAATAAACCCACCTGCTAAAAGAACCATGAACTGCTGCAGTTATGGACAAACATTGCATTCTGTAACTTCCCATTTTGAACCCAGCGAGCCCCGTCGTAGCCTCACCTGTGCAAGTACCAAGGCTGGGGTCGTATCCCAGAAGCCCCTCCTCTTGGAAAGCTCGTTTCAGGTTGACCCTGAGCGCCCCTTCGGTCTCATCCTCCTCCATCTTCTTCCCTCCTCCGCTGGTCCTCCTGCCTCTCTCTGTTTCTCTCTGTCTGTATGTGGAGCTCTCCAGCGCTGCCTGAATCTTTTCCTCTCGCTCCTCATTGGTCCAGTTGGCTTCGGCTGCTGGCCAGTCGATGCCCAGACTTCGTAGAAAGGTGATGATGTTGCTGTTTTCAGGAAGTGTCGGGCAGTAGGACACTGCAAACCTGAGACATACAGCATTTTCTGATTTTATTAACTCTTTAAACTACTTTTCATCTCACTTATTCATCATTGAGTCTATGTAAGTAAACGTCGAAATGCCTATTTCAGTTTCCAATGTGCAAGATCATACCTTAAAATTGCTTATTTTGTATGCACATTTGAGAATATACGTATTAACCCCCCAGACTCACCCCTGTCTCCTTAACAGCGCCCCCATGTGGTCAGCCAGCAGAACAGTCCTCAGCTGGCCCAGGGTCAGTGTTTCAGGAGTGAGAGTGTCTGGTTTAGGGTGCAGCGCGGGGCAGTTCAGCACCACACACCCTTGCTTCTGACTCGAGGGCTTGAGGTATTCTGTGGCTCCACCCGCCAGGACAGACCTGAAGGCTGCTGCCCGGTCCACCCTCACCCGCAACCCTTCACCCATTACCTCCCCACCAGCCACAGGGAGAACCCCACTGCCACGAAGGGACAAGACCCTGGACATCACCGCGGAAGGGACCTGGGAAAGAAAGAAAGAGATACTTAGCAAAACATACATCCCTCATACAAGTGTGAGGGATGAAAGCCATGTATCAAAGTACAAAAGTTGACACTGGCTTACGACTGATAGTTTATTTTGAAAATATTTTTTTGCAAAAGCTGCATTACCGAGAGTATTTTCTGCAAATGTGTCATTATGTACTTTCACATTCTAAACAATAAAGTCTTGGATTTCCCCTGGTCATCCATCTGTCTGTCCATCAGTCTGTAGTAAACATGTTTGTTTTGGGTTTGTTTTGGGTTTTGTTAGCCCTTGCTCTAATGTCTGTTCAAACACATGTGCTTTCAAACTCATTAGAAATGCATATTCCTGTCATAAAAAAAACACATCATACGATGATCTTGTGATGCACTCATTACACTGTACTATCCCACATGAAAAACAAACGTTCACATCCTCCTTCAGAAGGATGCACAAACATGTAGATATGCTGGAGTTCATTCTTAGAATAATTTCATCCAACATTATCATTGCGTAACAGGCATACATGAAGCGATGCAATGGGACTGGCAGTGGCGTGGTTCTTTTTCCACAGTTAGAGTTTCTGTCTGACCCACATCGCACTGCCACTCATGGGTCACTAATGACAGCTGCAGGCTGATGGTGTCTGGTCGATAATGATTGGGCAAAGTCAGCAGCCTCTGAGCAATGTTAAGCCATGTTATACTTTCATGATTTTGGGGTTTAAAAGATCCTTTACTATTATTGGATTTCACCTTGTTTTTCAGGCAGGTAGTTGGGATTAGTTGAACATCATACAGCAGATAGTCTCAGGTGCATAGTCACAGTTTGAAACAGTTGAAAACACCTTCCTGTCGATTTAAATATCACTCCGCGACATACAGTATAATGAAACGCTAATTGACAAACAATGTCTGGGATCTATATTGCTCAGCGGAAGAATGAAGGTGAAAGGTATACTTTTTTTTAATAAGGCACATTTAAATGCTAATTTGCTATATGTAACATAAGCGTTAGTATTGTGTAATGGTTCTGTGATTTTAATGTCTATTTTCAGATAATACCTCTTTTCGGTGACTGTTAAGGTTAGTTAAATTAGTAAACAGCTCACATGACCATTAAAGCCATTTAAAATACTCTGAACCCCTACAGGTAGCAGACAGACCTGCCCGTCTGCATACAGCGTGTTGAGCATCGTGGTCGGCGACAAGAAGTCTCTGTTCCGCAGGTTTTTCGCGCTGCTTTCCTTAAACCAAAGCTTCTCCGGGTCTGGAAAAAGCCTGTCCCCGTTCTCCCGGCTGGATTCGGATACATTTTCACGCTTTCCTCGCAGTGCGGAGCTCAGCGCCCGGACAGTAGGGGTGATACGGAGGGGCGAAGACTGCTCCACGGTATTCTCCATCACCACCACAACACAAACAGACGAGCTACCAGGCTACTGACACAAACTACACCCTGCCCATACCTTACTGGAAAAGCGCCGTCACACTGATTGGTGCTGCTCAGGCGATGCTAGGCTTAAACACTGTAACATGTCATGCTAATTATCGTCTGCACGGTTTATCAATGGTCGATGTCAGACTGGCTGCAGGCGACGAGGACTGCAGCGGCTGTTTTTCCCCCCAGCGGAACCATAAGAGGCATAGTTACAGTTCCTTCCGAGTTGAATATCGTGTTGGACCAGTGGCCAGTAGCGCCATCTGGAGTCTGACTGCTATCCTAATTTATTTTCTATTGAGAAAAATGGAAAACGCAACAGAATACCACCAGAAAATAAACAAAAACATGAAAATATAACAAACTGCACAAATAGGATATTTACATAGAGGTATCAGAAAACAGAACCAAAGTACCATGAAGGGTTTCACAAATGTTCACTGTCCATGTAATGTAGTGTTCTATTTCTAGTTTGAATTGTTGTATTTTTGGTCCCATTTTGTCATGACCGACTCAAAGGACATGGCAAATAAAGTGAGAGACACCAAGATAGCCCTTCATTAAGCTAATTAATTTACAAAGACCTAAATTGAATTGCAAAAAGAGATGAGGTTTTGATGTCAGCAGAGTCAATAATGTAGGCCTGAGTGAGTGAGTGAGTGAGTGAGCGAGTGAGTGAGTGAGTGAGCGAGTGAGCGAGTGAGTGAGTGAGCCGACTGGCCTGCCAATTACATGAAACATAAGACAAGACAAGAGAAGGCACAACCTAACAGTCCATCACAGTTTACATTTGTGAATATAATACTTCCCATAATAAATCAATAAATTCAAGATGAATATATTTTTTACAGTCCGTTCCACTCTTACTGTTAAATTAAATACATAGACATATCATTTTCCTTCAATTGGACAGTTAAGCAAGTCAGTGCATTGAAGAACTGCTATAAACAAAATATGCCTCACCCTAACATAGAGCGGTTCTAGGCAGGGGCCAACAGGGGCCAGTGCCCCTGTAACACTGAGTTTGATCCCCCCTGTGGCCACCCCTCCAAAAGGAAGAGCCCCCCAACACATACACAGTATTTGACTCGACAACCGCACAATCTATATTAAACACTTTTTTTAAAGCGATCATCTTTGTGTATTTGTTACCTGGGTTTATTGTTCCCCTTTGACAAAACAACTGGCCCCAGTTTGGCCCCCTCAGTAAAAGTGGTCTAGAAACGCTCATTATAACAGAATACAACTTTTTTTTTCCACATCCCTGAATCTTGCAATCTTGCCAGCGGACAGGATAAATTCAGCATATGATATACAACTTGCAACAGGTGAGAGCTTTCAGTGTTGTGAACACACTGCACGTTTCAGAAACACAAAGTTAGCACAGATTATAGTCCTGTCAAGCAGAGCAGCATTACTACATGTTTCTCTATCATTTGAAACCATAGAAGTTGATTTTTATTCTAATTGATTACATTTCAATCAACTTCTAAGTAAGGGAGCTCATAGGAGTGGGAGTGAGAAGTTTATCTCATTTGTCCCAATGTAATGATGTGGATTTCTTTGTTGATATGTTTGATGATGAAGAAATTCGCCGTTGAGACTGACTTGCTTTCAAAGAGTATAATTTTATTTAAGCAAGAAACAGAGTCACTGGTCACATCTGACCAGGAGGACCAAGAAGCCAAATAATGATCTCTCTCGAACATACAGAGACAATCACCTATATGCACCTAAACGTCTGCTTTTCGTCATGAGTCATAAAAAACATCATGTAACACATCCATATTTGGCAATTCTCCTACACAACACCTCAATGTAAACATTCAACTTGAGGGGACTCCTAAATCTCCTTCAGATACAAACTCTCTCCAGATGTATACGTTATAAACTTAAAGGAGCAGTATATTCTCTCTGTCCTAGTTACGTCAGACACTTCAGTAACTCAGTTAACCAGGTGAACTGTGTGCAGAACACTGGAGTCTCTGTTAACAGATTAATGCCGTCTCATACAGACAGCTCCAACATGAACGTGCATCGATGTCACTGGATCTGCTCAACCCCTGTAGAAAATATTTTATCTTCTGCATGGAGTTGACCGACAATAGTATTGTTGCCATGACTATTATCTTGGTGGCAACACATTACGAGTTCATGAGTACACGTTACCTTTCCTTTATGTCTCTATAGGGCTCCTGAACATCTAGGCCCCCGGATTGCATTTTTTTGTTTTGATTGGTTTTCAAAATTGAAAAAGTTGTTTATCATGCAGCTGTATGGAATTAGAACTAAATGGCTATGTTCTTATACAACTGTATTAATCATGTGTGTAAAAAAAAAACTTGGTGAGTTCAGATGTAAAAATAAAGCTCCATATTTCCGTCTTCAATTATAAAACAAAATCTGATATTTCAAGAAATCAGGGTTAGTAAAATCTAATTATAAAAGGAAGGTGGTTATACTGTACAAATCACATAGGAGCAGGGCAGAAAAAAACATCTGCAAGAAAAAGAAGAAAGGCCACAAAGAGAATATCACAACATTTTGACCTGATGCTCTTCCTCCAGTGACTGTTGGTGTGCAAACAGATTTACACACCAACAGGCTGGTAACACCATGATGGTGTGGTCAAGCATGCAAAACATCATTGGTTCTAAAAATAGGCTAGATGTTAAAAACAAACAAAAAAAAACAAATTGACTACCACGGGAAATATGCCTATAAAGTATTACTATACAGTTATTTAACCAGCATTAAACTAAACATCTTACAAAAACATTCAACATCAGTGTGCAGACTTTTCTTTTTAAAATAGTCCCAGAAAAAATACTTGATAAACTATCAATAAATACGAGCTATTCCTGTAAATACATGTTTCACTCATAGGTTTCACTGCTATTGTTGTGTGAGTGTTTATTTCAGCAATATCCAGCTGTGTTGGCGCACGTCGACTTCCGGCGTGGAAATGTGACGCACCACTCGCAAAGGCACAAGGGAAGTGTTTATAACAAGTTGGGACGCTCCAGCTGCACAAGATGCACAACTGGCAGGAGAACGAAATAGAGAAACTGTTGACGATCCGTGCGTCGGAGCCGATCCGTCACCTGATCACGGGCACGGTGAAGGACTCGGTGGTCTACCAGAGGATGAGCAAGCTGCTGGCGGAGAGGGGGGTCTACAGGACACACATGCAGGTCATCAGCAAGCTGAAGGCGCTGAGGAAGCAGTATCTCAAATATCACCAGCTCAAGATCCGCTGCGGGAGCGAACACGTTACCTGGCCGTTTTATGAGCAGTGTCACCGGGCTTTCGGGACCGGGCCTCTGCCTGTGAAGAGACCCAGGAGTCCCTCACCTCCTCCCGCACGACCACCGCCCCCACAGCAGCTCTCTCCTCCTTCACCGCCGCATCCGCCTCCTCCTCTTCCCATCGACGACGAGCATCATGAGGTCGTGGTCGGCCTCTGGGACGACGTGGACGACAAAGAGATCAACAAGCACCTTGGTCCAGTAGAGCCGGATGATGACGACGGGAGGTACAGTCCTCCAGAACAGTTACAGCCCACCAACACCAGTAAGTACACGGGGCTGCTTTGAGTGTTGTGAAGGGATACCTGGATGACGACATGCGTGACTCCTGTCACCTTCCCTTCAGTAGGAGTGGTAAATACAGAGTAACTAACGGTACAGTACAAGACGTGGCCAAGACAACGAGAATATCATTATGGAGCAACTTCAGGAGATAAACAACTCAGAGGTGCTCCTTCCATTTGTCATGCACCTGAACAGCCTCTGCTTTTATCTACATCACTTTATTCTATCCTTTCTATTTCACTATTCATACAGCTCTGGTTACTTATTCCTGATGTTTCTTATCCATCATTGCACTACGGTCACTTTATTTATCTCATTTTTACCTTACAGTTATATTGTTTATATTAGTTCTGTTGTTCCATTATTCACCATGCACCTTAATAACTTATCATTTAGTATTTAGCCTACTTGCACATAGTTCTGTATATATATATATATATATATATATATATATATATATATATATATATATATATTTATTTCTCGTTTACTGCACATAGTTCTGTTTACATCTGTTAGTCCGATCTCTGTCCACTTATATCTACTCTTTTATATTTTGTATTTTTAAGTTAAGTTTAAGCTTTAAGTTGTATTTAAATTGACACTTTATATTTAGGTTAAAATGTTTCATCTACTTGCACTGTTGTTAATTTACTGCTCTGTGTGCCTTTGAATTGCCCCCTGAGGACAAATAAAGTTTTTTGAATTTGAATTTGAAAAATGAGTTCATAACGAAAGTTGGAATAAGGCTGAGTATTAAATTACTATGGAGGACAATGGGAATTTATGAAATACAACATTTGAAAAGTCAGAAGGGGAAAGAAATAGCAAAGGGCGAACATTAACAGATACTTAAACTAAAGAAGTAATCATGACATATGGACACCAAAATCTGTGTCACAATCATTTAAATTACAAGTAGACCAATTTTTAGAAGATGAGAGAAGAAGAGCTTTTGTATGATCCAGAAGGTGATGGATGGAGCAAAGAGAGAAGGACAACATATTGTCTCTAACTTGGAAAAAGGGGAATGCAGAACTTTCCTCATTAATCAAACCTAACATTAACTGATGTTGCTTCTTTTTATTTTGTGTGTTGTGAAAAGATACCTGGATGACGTGCATGGTTCCAGACACCACCCCTTCAATAGGGGTGGGAATAACAGGGTAACTAACGACAACGATTATATCATGATGCAGCAATCCTGCAATGACTGACATATTGGAGGAAAAGAGTTCTAGGAAAAAAAAGGGTGTAAAAAAAAAAAAAAAAATCTAAATATTTACAAGCAAGTTTGTCTGGGAACTCTCGATATAAAAACAAAAGTCTTTTTTACAAACCTACTGTGTTGAAGCTAAAAGACGTGCCCATCACAGCGTGTCCAGTGACTGACAGGCTTCCCTCTTTCTTTTTGTTTTCTAGCGTTCAAGCTTCCGTCAAAGAGAAGGAAAACCTCAGTGATGGACCAAGTGTCGTCTTTAGTCAGAACGACAGTATCGCAGCTCAAAGAGATGGACGCGTCGATGCAGGCGCAGGAGGAAGGACGGCTACAGAGGCTCATGGAGCACGAGAAGGAAATGCAGAACAATCTGATGTGTCAGCTGGTTTCCATGCATGAAAGGATCAGCCGAGAGAACCACGAGAGACACGTGGAGCTGGTGGACAGGATTCTCTCTAGGTTCCCCTCACAGCCAGGCCCTTCAGGTCAATGACTGACACTTCCTGAGTGACAGTATACAACAGGGTTTTTCAGGTTCTCTCTCCTCTACCAGCTGACTAGTGCCTAAGCCCACATTCCTTTTTTTTAATCTTTTGACAAAACACTCTGAAAAGGTGACGTGTAATTCTCTGACATCATCTTGCCTTTAACCATGACTCTGCTCACTTGTAGCTGATAGAAAACCAGGTTTGAAACATGCCATGTCTTCTCTACATCATGCTCGGTCACTGCTCATAACTTTAACCTAGAAACATTTTAATTGGGAACTGCTGTCATGCGGAAAAGAAACACAAGTGCAGAGAAACGATCAATCACTTGTTTGACCTCTGCACGATAGTCACAGTAGACCCACCAAGTCACTTCTGATATGAATATCCAAGAGCTAATTGTTAGCTGCACTTACATACAGACTGAATCATTGAACCATGATTGCATTACAACCAGTGCGTTGGCATATTTTGTTTTCTTCACCACTTTCCAGTTTACACCCAACAAGACTACAAACAAAACTTATCCACAGATTCAGTGTTTATCTGCAGAATCTGTTGATTGATTTGATAAGATTATAAAGTTATGGATCTATGTTACATTTATAATTATGTGGAGGTTATCAAAACATGCGATTTATAGACATGTTAAGGTAAAATGGTAAATGGATTTGAGCTTGTAAGACACTTTTCTAGTCTTCTGACTACTCAAAGAGCTTTTAATCCGCATGTCACACCTTCACATTCACACACTGATGGTAGAGGCTGCTGTGTAAAGTGTCCAACAGAACTAACTAATCCCATTCATACTCTGCCAACCAAGCAGAGGGAGCAATTCGGGGTTAAGTGTCTTACCCAAGGACACATTATGTAGCAGAAGCTGGGGATCGAACCCCCAACCTTTCTCCTCCACCTCCTCCACCGACTTAATTTGTGCTTTAAATATGTGACTTACATCAATTTAAGTCACAAGGCTGAAAATCTAAAATTTAGAGACTTAGCAACTTCAGTAATCATAAGAAGGAAAATATGTCTGTTATGAAGGGTTCAAAATGTCATGGGTCATTATCACCACCATGGGCATCGGGTCTGGATGCATGAGTCCAGCCAGGAAACATATTTGTGGTTTACTAGATTTATTTCTTCAAATTCAGTTTAAAAGGGTTCAAAAAGGGGGTAACACAAACACACATGGGATGTTTCAAACATCTGAAAGACAAGGAAAAGAATATTAGCTCAATAAACAATTAGTCAAATTAGATTTACTTTCTGCTGAAAGTAAGGATGAATAAAGTACTTTAATTTAAAGTGGACTAGATCATTGGTTCTTAATGTAACATTACTGATTCTAAGTCCACCTCAAAATTGGGATTTAAGTGTGGCTGTTCGGCACTGGTGGTGAGCAAAAAGATGTCAGGAGGCAGAAGTCAATGCAAAATGAAGTGATTGATTTATTAACCAAAAATAGCACCAAACAAAAGTCCCGGGTAACCTAATAAAACAAGATTACGTAAACCAAACGAAACCACAGCCTCACAGCAAGCTGCCACTAACCAAACAACCACCTTTCCCCCCCCCCAGACTCTGGCTTTATACAAGAAAACCCCAACTGGCCTCACTTTGTCTGATTAAGCTCAGGTGATTTCACTCAGCCTAATCACTCTGCAGGCCAGTGTAGGGAAGGTGGGGGCAGGTGAAAGGTATGGGACAACCTTTTCACACTTAACTGGTGGGTCAGGACCCAAAAGTGAAAAAAAAAGTCTATCTTTTAGTTAATCTGTTTTGCACACTACTGTTCATTAATGAAATCTCATTGGATGAAAAAAATATCAGAAATTAAAGTCATGACTTCTCTTTCAGGAGTTGGTGGTGGGTCCTGAGGCTGGACAAGTTGAGGACTAGTTACTAACTCAAAGAGTACAAACACACACCTTAACAGTTCTGAGCTGCCTCCCCATGTGAGGTTGCAAAGAGTGAGTGCAGTCTTTAAATGAGCAGTGATCGGCTGAACTCAATCTAACTAACGAGTGACAGAACGCAAACGGCAACCAATGAAGGGGAAGGGACAAACCAGGAAGTGCACTAAAGGAAGTGAAAGCAATCAAAATAGTGGTCTTTATACTACAATGTCTTTCAGTACTGTACCCCAACTGAGCATGTCGGCACGAGCAGTAAACGAAACTGTAGCAAACTCTGAACACTGTCAAGAGCAGCAGACATTTATTTGGTGTCTTAATGTTTTCAGGCAGTTGTTTTCATGTGGACTCTTTCTCTGTTGTTGGATGTGGTGTGTGACTTAAGTGAGAACAGTTACTGGATGGGGTTAGTGTTCAAAGTTAAAGAAAGTGTTGCTGTGTTAACACTGATGTAAATATTATTTGAGTCATAAAAGTTGTATGTGGATGAAAATTGTAAAAACCACAAAAAACAACTGATACAGTAAATATATTTAGATTTATTTAAAATATCCATTCACAGATACTGTACAGAAACAAGAAGAAATACAGCGGCTCACTTTTACAAGGAGGATTTCTAAAAGGTATTTGCAATAAGTTGATGATCTCGGTGTCATTCTTGGCTGACACGAAATTCCCGGTTGCGTTTTTTATTGTCAGCAATCCGGGAGAAAACGTGTCATTGAGGAAAAACACCAGGAAAAAAAAGACAACACTCCAGGATATCCTGTTTAAACTCGCCACACAGCACTTCAATCAGTTGGTTTCATTTTGCCTGTTGATTTCAGAGAAACAAAACTGATAATGCACCTTGAATGGATCTTCTGAATTGGTGTTTTTTTTTATGATCACATCAGATTCTTAAGTTTCTTCTTTCACATTGTGTTTGATATTTATGGCTCTGTCAGCTGGGATGTGTATATTCACTGTAGATAACTTTTATACCGTCTTTAACTGCTCTCAAGTGTTTGACTGTTTTTATTGTTTATGAAGCAAAGTTTTCAACTGACAATTATGAACCCATTTTCAGAAATAAATGCTATCTGAGTAAAAGAAAATAAATAAGTAAAGTGTGGTAGGAAGGAGGAGGTGCTGTGCTCAGTGTCTTCAATGATTAAACGCTCGGTTATCAGCCCATCTGTCCAGGATGTCCTGTGCATTGTGGGATGGAAACGGACCCCATAACCAGCTGGGGCTTACAATCACAGCTGCATTATGGGTTCCGTTACAATCCCACCCACCAAGAAACACTTCAGGCCCGGGGGCAGTCAGGTAAACACCCCTAAAGGAGAAATAAAGAGAGTTAATAGCAGGAACTCTTGAATTTATGCTGCATAAATGGGACTCTGAAGAGTTGTTACAATCTCTTCTTTTGGAAGCTTTAAATTAAATTAAAAGGTCACATATACACTTCACCGTGTTTCTCTAACACTAATCTGTGTCTCTACAGTGTCTTCAAACCGCCAAATTATAAGAAAAGTCTGTCCTCTGAGTCTGCCTACTCACCGTAAACTATAGGGCATGGAGCGAGAAAGCCCGAGACACCCAAGCCCTTCCAGAGAGGGGCGTGGTCAAACACAGCTCATTTACATATTTAAAGGTACAGACACAGAAACAGCCTGTTCTGATCAGGGCTGAAATAGAGGGGTTTATATACATGATCAAATACAGGATCAGAGTGGATTTAGAACAAGAAACTTCACAGACATGTTTTGAAGAGCTCTGAGACTTATTTAAACTGGTTGAAGAGGAGGAGGATATGTCACCTTTAATCAACATTAGACGGACAACATGCATCTTTAAAAAAAAAAAGGTTAAGCATGCATGTTAAATTGGCAGCATCTTACTTTGTTAAAGACAAAGTAGAAGACACTTAAAAGAATTGTCTTTGAAACCGAACCTTTTTGTCATGGATTTGTTCAATTTGCATAAACTGACCATTTAGGATTATTTTTCTGCATCAGAAACAAGGCCTAAAAATGTATTTGTTTGAGCAACCTGCCACAGACCTTCTTTAAAACTGGAATAAATACTAAAAAATCGGAAGGAGCGAACGAAAGGTTACATAATTTCAACATTTTGCTAATGAGGATTGTTTTCAGTGATGGACTTTTTAAAAAGTTCAGAAAAATATTTCTGCTGCAGTAAAAACACATCAAGATCTTCAGCTCATCCTGATTTGTGCTGATTAAACCTAAAACCAAACAACCAGTGCTGACTCACACCGTCGAATGAAACCAGGGCCTTAATGACTTTCATTCTGAATGGAAACCTTCCACTTTAAGTTTCATGTATTGTTCACATAAAGCACTTTGCTGATGACCAACTTTGAAATAAAACATTTCTCTTATAAATAAACAGAACACATGGGATGCTGTGAAAAGATATTCCTTATATATATATATATATATATTTTTTTTTTCTCTATTTAGTTTTTAATACATTAATTACTTTTCCATTCTTTGACAATAAGCCGTCCTCTTCTCACCTCTTTACAACAGCTGAGGAAACACTACAGGTGTGTCACCAGGTGAGAGAGAATCAAAGTTCACTGAATTGATAACTTACCTGTTCAAACTCACTCTTGTTGCCACAACATAACAAGGTATACAAGTTTGTTTTTCAGTGTAAAATATTCCATTCAAATGAAAACCTCTTAGGAACACTTTCAGTACCGTAGACTCTTTCACTAAAGCCACAGTATTACAAAAAAAATGCTTTTATTATCATTTTCTGTCAGACTTCAGTCACATGTCAGTATTTCGCAATTTGATCTCAGTTTTACCAGTTTTTTTTCTAGGAATAAATGTAAAACAATGATTATTTTGAGGTTACAGCTTATTATCAGTTTGTCATTTGATGAATGTTCAGTATAAAGTGGTGAAAAAGTAAAGGCTGTCATCCAATTGATCTATATTCTGTATTCAAGTGAACTGTGAGCAAAGCCGCTGTAGATGAGCATTGTTTTATTTTTTTACAAGTATATTAAAAAATGTGTTGAAGGGAACTATGGCGCCTAAGCCGCCCCATAAATGGAGGTTGGTGCTCTCAGAGAAGGATCTTTAGACATTCAAATTATAATAGAATGGACAACTTCTCTCCTCTCAGGCTGAATCCAAAGAAAGTACACAAATCACTGAAGACAACTTTTATCTCAGCGTCTTAAGTTATTTGTGTGCTCCAGTACTTTCTTCCATTCCTTTGAATTATCATTTAAAAAAACACAAGTTTTAGTAACTGCTACAGATCTGATTCATCTTAAGGGAAACAATGGTACTTTTCTGAGCATTGAAAGTCTATAAAAAGTTTATTTGGGAAGTCCAACACTGGAATTCTGAATAGAAAACTTTTTTCCTTCTGAAGGGTGAGAAACAAACCAAACACCAGATTGTTTGCATGTTTTGTCTTTAAATGTTCTCCTTAAAGCGTCATAATTTCTCCTCCAAAAGGGTCCAGTAGTACAGACAACTGAATATATTTGAAACGTAAATGTGTATC